GACCTTACTGACCTGAGCACATTGCGATCTTGGGTAAACTTCCCGTGGGGACAGTCAATGGAATACGAAATTTACAAGGCCACTAACGCTATTCGGGGCTATGAAAGGGTATGGAGTTATCTTTTTTATATTAAATGCTCTGCATCTTTTATATATCTACTTATACTAATGAAGCAAACTCCGATTTTTCACCCCACTATATATGTATATATACCCCTGCTAAATACTCCAGTCTGATTTCGAAGAAACCAATTGCTGCATTATTGTACTATTTAACCTTCTAGCCTCTAATCCACCATTTGGAGTAAAACTGGTGCATCTTATATGTAAAAAATAATGAGCAAGCAAGGATCTCTTTTTTATTTAATTTCCTGATAACTTATGATGAATATTGGCTGCCTGAAATATTGCGAACGACAAATTTCAGATTGGTTTGTTGAGTTCTGAGAAGAAAATTCCAGAAGCTATTCTACAAAATGCAAGAGGTCTTGCCATACTTACGGTCGTGAAAGTTGGAGTGATGGTCACCTATAACATTGGAACTGGATTGGTTATTGCGCGTAGAGAAGATGGTTCATGGTCTCCCCCGTCGGCCATTTCTTCTTTCGGTGTGGGATGGGGTGCTCAGGTGAATATATATTTCTGCTAAATGAAGTAAAGTATAATTACCGACCATAAATTTACTATTTTCTGCTGAATGAAGTAAAGGATAATTACTGACCATAAATTTTCTATATCTTCTATATGAAGTAAAGGATAATTACTGACCCGAATAGTGTGGTCTGAATATAGAGGATTCATATAGCCGGCAACTAATTTTGGATTGAGGATAATTGCCACTTTGCTTGTCTATATTTAGATGCATTCGTCATTGTAGGAAAAAAATCGTAGATTTGAGCATTGCACATGGCTGCCATGGGCAGTGGTGTCTTAATTGCAACATTGGAAATTGTTACCCAGTGGCTTCTGGATGTTATCCATAATCTGTGGGTAACTAAGCAAATTCAAACGCCATATTGGGGTGATTTGTGTATACCCCATTTGGCATAGCAAGGAGTCTTCCTTTCATGATAGTCTAGGTGTTTTGGCAGTTCAGCACATCGTATTAAGCCCTGGCCGTTTCTGTTTAGCATTAAATGTCGGAGAAAGATGTCTGTTCTAGTTAGTAAAATTGTCTACTCTTCTTTTAACGTAGTTTCTTCACGAAGGAAGCGTCTAAAATTTTGCAAGGAGGTCAATCAAAATATAATTTCTATTCAATAGGAACTTCTTATCATCAGTAAATCATAAATCAGATTTATATTTTGTAGGCTGGTGGAGAACTCACTGACTTCATTATTGTTCTGAGAACTACTGATGCTGTCAAGACTTTTGGTGGTGATGCGCATCTTTCAATTGGAGCTGGTGTGAGTGCTGCTGCTGGGATCATTGGACGAACTGCTGAAGCTGATCTTCGTGCTGGTACTGGAGGCTATGCTGCTTGTTATACATACAGCTGCAGTAAAGGTATGAGTCCACCTTGTTTATAAGTTCACTTGTATTGTGTCATGTTATACTTTGATTTGTATGTTCTGTTATTGCAAGATAGAGTTGGCATGTGATTTATACATGCTTTTCTATATCACGCGATTGTTAATGGCCAGAAAAATTTAATCTAAGCTTTCCACTCACTTGCCTGTGGAGAAAAGTTTTGAATAGTCAAATATGCAGAAAATTTGCTCATCAGTAGAATAATTATGGTGTTTTTGAAGTCTACAATAATTCATAGAATTCTTGTTGATGTTGATTTAACTTGAAAAGGGTTTAGGGAAGTTAGTGTACTTCAAACCAATTTTCTCACTGTCTTTACTATTTAGACCGTATCTGTTGTTTCTGCCACTGGAAGTTAAGTTGATGCTTGCTCTCGAAGCCTAGTTATATCTCTATATATGTTTAAAGTTCTACTTTTTTGTGGTACAGGTGCCTTTGTTGGGTGTTCCCTACAAGGGAGTGTAGTGACTACCCGAACACGAGAAAATTCCAGATTTTATGGTAGCCAGTCATTAAAAGCTTCAGAAATTCTCCTTGGTTCGTTGCCGAGGCCCCCTGCTGCAGCCACCCTATATCGTGCACTTGCCGATTTATACCAGAAACTTTGAAGGTCTCATTCGTCTTAAAGGGTTGTACATAATGTTAAAGACACTAAGTACGGGTTGGAAATTTGGGGGCTTGATTATTGCTATTCTTTGTGAATTATGATTGCATAGATATAGTGATTTTGTACAGTCTGGAAGAAAGAAAAATTGTAAATATAATCATGATCTTTGCTGGGAGAGTATCCTCGCTCCACTGAAAAAATGGATGAAAAGAGTTGTGCTTTGGTGTTTGTTCTGTTACTCGGACGATTATCCAATTATTCCTGATATGCCCAATTCTTGATTTGCATATGGAAGTTCTGCTGCCACATTTTCCAGTGTAACATAAAGGCCAGGCTAAAGAAGTTAAACTAAGTAATGGTTTTTTAACTCCCAACAGTATTATGTGGAGCTCGAGTGTTTCCTATTATGGTTGAATGCTTACTCACTTGCATTGTTTAAAGCAAAGTTAGACTCACATTGGTCGAGGTTGCGTCTCTGACATGATTATAACAGACTAATTAAAGTTTCATGGAGGTAACCCATTAAAAGGTGAGGGGTTCGTATCTTGCTCGTGCTGTTATGATTTAGGCTGTTTGCCTCGGACATTTCGAATTTTCTTTAAAAGATTATAACTTGGACAATAATAAATATTATCTTGTTAGATTATTAAATACTGTATTTGGTTATTTAGAATACTATATACACATCTGTTATTATGCTTAGATGGTTAAGTTAATATTTCCACATTTTTTTAATTTTGAAATTTATATGATTTTAATACTTTTATTATTTCTTAATGTATTTTTTATTTTAAACTATTAAAATTAGAATTTGTGAGACTTGAGAATAAGCACCATCTCATGTAAATTGACCTGCCTCTGTTATTTGTATAATAATCACTTAATATGAATGATACAAGATGCAGAATATTAAAATACTATATTTCGTAGTTCCTCCTATGTTCGTCTTTAATTTTTGAGTCAGACAAAACAGAAACTCTATGTTATTCTATTTACTGATAGCTGATATACTCTTGAGAGCTTTCTTTCAAGTTGCATAAACATATACAGTAAGGAACGTAACCATTTTTGATCTCTCTATGCTTCACAAGCTTAGGGACAAATACCATTTTATTTTAAATGCTTTTTGATGGCACCCTCAGCTGTCAACTCCAACAAACATTGTTCAACCCTTCGAGATGTCATTAGGATTCGCCCTTTATTGCTTTAATTGGAGACTCAGATTTCCAAACATTAAAGGCTATGCACCAAGGCATTTGCATTGAATTTTCTCGCTTAGTCTCTATCAAACCTTAGACAAACCTGGTAGAGCCTACTCTACAACAAAATCACTCTGTTTATAAGAAAAAACAAATAAATAAAAGGTACAGAAAGACAGCTTCTTGTTAGTCAACTCTAGCTACTTACTATATCGTGTGAACAATTACAACAGGGTAACTACAAACAAATTCAACACTGAAAGTGAAAAGAATCAGAAGAACAGGGGAGAATATTAGAGAAAATACGATAACGTTCCCCCAATGGACAAAAGATAAAAAGAAAAAAAAAAAAGACTTCACATGAGCTATCTCCTCTTGAGGAAAACAAGAGAAGGAAAATTAACTGCTGTTCCTACTCAGTATTTGTGACTTTCTGGTTTTCCCTGAACCAGAGTATCTTCGCATTCAGGAGGGATGACCAATACAAGAAGTTAAACGCTTCCAAACTTTGCAATGATCATATAAGCATAGATTTTCTCTTTCTACTCGCACTTGCTATCTGCAAAGCAGCAAAAGAACACTAATCAGCTACTTTTAAGAAGAAGACTTACTTTTGAGAGAGAGAAAGAGAGAAAGAGAGGGAGGGAAGGGGGGATGTGTTGGGGCTTAGAGTTGCTTAAGTGTGTTTGCTTCAAAGGTTCAAATAAGAAAGTTTACCTAGTGCTGGAGTTCCCAAGTGTAAGCTCAAGATCATCACTGACACACTCTTCGTGAATTCTTTCTCCTTCCCATGGCTTTACTACTCCCTTCACGTTGCTGCCAAATGCGAACTCTGCTGAGATAACATCCGACATTGGTATATCAGCTGTTTGGTCCATACCAGCTCCAACTGCAGGTGAACATGTCCCACTTTGCCCAGGTGTCCACATTCGAGACCCTCCATTTGATAGTGGCTCCTTAAATCCAAATGGATTTGATGAGACGAGGCTGAATGTGGGAGATGAAGGCCCATCCTGTGGAGTTTGAACGCCAGAAAGCCATCCTGAATCTGGTGGGGTTTGGCGACCAGGACTAGGAGGGGTTGAGAATGGCAAGAAGGGATAATGATGTTGTATCCATGTTGAATTGGCCGTGGGATTTTCCCAATTATCTTTCATCCTAGGAGTACGGGCAGTGGGAGAGCTCGAAGGTGGTGTCACAGGAGCACTTATAGAATCTCCAGGAATGCACAGATGGTGGGGAAACTTAGACGAGGAAGGCGATGAGCCAGATGATAGGTTCTTAAGCCAAGGAATGAGCGAGTTGGGATCAGAATTATTTTGGACATTGGCAATATAATGGGATGAGACTGGGCTGGGGATAGATGATGAAGCGGGACTTGGGTTATACGAAGCACCAGGGCTCAGTTGGTAAGACGAACAAGGGCTTACTGATGCCGAACCACCAATAATATCCATGTGGTGTACTGGCTTGCAACCCTGCAGAAAAGAACAGATGATAAGCAGCAATAAAGGGGGTAAATCAAATAGTCAACAGTGAGCTTCACCAGAATTATGCTATTATAGCAGAAAGAGAGCAGACATTTGCAAATGCATTGACTTTAAAGATTAGATGATTAAGGGCGTCCCGAGATCTTTTTAAAGCGTAAAAGCGTCCCCTTCACATGTCTTCAATTGCTTAAGTTCCAGAAAGTGTAAATTAGTTATTACTTAGGCCAGATTCATCAATTAAGTGACTAATATATTTTAGTTCATTCGCGTACGTACATCTATCAGCAGCATGAAGATGCCCTAAATCAGAAGCTTCCGCTCTTTTAATGAACATATAAATTGTCATAGAATGAGGAGTACCTACATTTAGGTTGTGCACATCTTGCTATTTGTAAGTAGCCAACTTCCACAACACCATTGACCAACCAACTTATCTCTTCAAAAACAAAACATGCCATAGATTGAAAGAATCATCCTGCTTGGTACCCATGGGATGGTCAATGTATCTCATGATTTAGCAAAGAAGGTATACAACAGTGACCTTTTAGGAGAACCAGTAGCAGAGATGGGCTAAAAAAGCAGCAGCTACCAAATTAAAACAATAACTACGAGTAGCAATAAAAATGACTATCAAATAACCCATCGACATTTACTCACAGGACCCGACATCTTGATTTGTGACCTCTTTAGGCTCATTAACGCATATACACATTTTAAGAGATCTTCCAGTTTAGGTCAACCAAAAGTTTCAAACAGACGTAAATGTGGTTCAGCAATTTAAACCTTCCTTTTTGATCCTCCCAAATTGGTGTCCCTTTAAGCAATGTTTTAAAACATTCAGTTTAACATAACAGTTAAGGGCCCCCCAATTTTTGCTATTTCTATCACAATTCTCTTTTGTATTGTACTCCAAAAATGATAGAGTTAACGTATGAACCTACATCTTTCCAAATTCCAACTAATAGAAAACAATTAAAATATTCAACTCTTCCCCTAAATCTAAGAGACACATCTGTCAAACTAGAAATATTACATTGGCATGTATCGAGTATTCAAATTGGTAAATTCTGATATTTTCAATGAACATAGTTTTTTCCAAAGAAATAATTCTTAGTAACTTGAAATGGTAACGAAGTAGGACAAATCCACATTATCTACAGGGAAATAAAGAATACTCTATTGGTCTAAAAAGAGCCAAGTCTATTTCCAGAAAGTGAGGACATTCTCCAATTGACTGAGACATTCTGAACTTATTCAATGTTTTGAAATTGCATATTGAGTAGCCATTAATACTTATTTATCAGTTCAATTATAATTGTTCCCACATAAAATAGCTCCCCATTAATCCTAATTATAATCGTTCTCCATATATCTACAAAAGTTTTAAAAACTCATTTACACGCTCCAACCACATCTATGCTCGACCTCTAGTTTTCCTTATTTAGGCTCAATTTGACACCCACTTGAAAAATTCAAAATCCTATTTGTCATCATCTTGGTTATTCTCAAATGGCACCTTTTCAACTTTCAGCCACAACAATCATTTTATGTTGGTCCTCCCTCTCATCCCGTTGATCAAGACTCAGGAGTCAGGTACCATGTCCACTAAAGCCCTACATGTTAATGATAAAAGTATCCAAACATACCCATGAAAATTGGACATAACCCAAGTGCCAAAACAAGCCATAAAGGCATAAACAACATAGAATGATGGCACCATCAAAATATTACACAATTGTAACCCTACCATCCCAACAACTTTGAGAAAGGGTGTCCATATCCAATTATAATGTCAACTCTATAATTAAACTGCAATCCCAGCAAACACGTTACCCCCTCACCTCCTAGTCTATCATCAGCCTTTTTCCACATCACATCCAAAATTGATCTCCCCACACGCTCTACAGCCTTGACTATAATTATATTTATAAAATAAAGATAAAGGAACCAACATCATAATACAACCCAAGGATTTGGTATCTTACAAATTATTTTCCAGACAATGCTATAACTCGATAGTCCATAAGAAATAACCTACTCGCTTTGTTCTCTCTTATGTGGCACTATTTATTTAGTTCATTCCAAAAAGAATGACAACTTCATAATTTAAAAAAAATTTAATTTTAAACTATACTTTTATAGTCACATAAATCTCATGGCATACAAGTTTCAAAATTTTTCTGTCTTTCTTAAACTTCGTGCCAAAACACCACCACCTAAATTGAACAAAGTGAGTAACTTTTGTCATTTGTGAGATTTGAACTCTGATAGTGATACATCAAGGCCTTGGGGTTGTACTTCCGTGAATCAACGATTGAACCTTAATATTTAAAATTCCCAATCTACCCTTCATAAAGAGATTGCAGATACAGGACTCCAGAACTCAGGACTGCAAGCAATCAAAGGACTGGTAAAACCCTGAAATCAGCTGAAATGTCCATACAACCCATCAATTCCAAAAGGAAAAATGTGGGTCCCTGGGAGTACAGCAGGGGCTATATAGTCAAATGAGCCTCTAGGTGAAATATTCAGACTTTCTGAAAACTCTGACTTTGGAGCAGAACAAATCTATGAAGAATTCGTCTTTTTGATTTTTTTTCCTCTAAAAAAAATAAATTAATTTACAAAATCCAAATGACTGAATCACCAATCTAAAAATATATATACTGTAGTAAAAAATGAGTTTACCTTACGATAAGTGGTTCCATCATCTTCAACGATCCAACCAGCTTCTTTACAAAGAGCTTTCAATACCTCGTTATTATCACAGTGCTTAGGGAGCTTATAATTACCGTACATCCTTAATCCGGCGAAGATCTTGGCGGCGATCGCCCTCCGCCGCCGCTCTCTCCGCTTGTTGTTCTCTCTCTCCTTCCATGTCGGTAGCCGAGTGCCGGACGTCATTACCACGCCGCCGGTTCAATAGAAGACTTATAAACCGGAAAATTTCTCGACCGGTTTAGTTTCTGAACCGGGCTCTGGAATTCTGGAAGTAGAAATGAGAGAGCTAAGACGTGTTTGAGTTAAATATGGACATTGTGTTTGAGCTAAATATGAGCAGGTGAGTTGACAATTGCCACTGAATATTAACCAATTTACGGAATTGCCACTCCTATTGTTGTTTATTGATTAAAAAAAGTCCTGTAAATGTGGGCGGTGCACGTGTTGAGTCTTTTTACAGTAGTTTTTGGTGGGTAGTTGCGAGGAAAGGGCGTATTTGAAGTTTAATATGGGGGATCGAGTCAAATGAAAACGACAGCGTTTTGCGCTCTTTTGGTGGGGTCTATTATCTGTGGGAAATTTGTAAAGAAAGGGGTTGGGGTAAGAATGGAATTTTAATTGGATGACCAAGTCAAAATTCAAAAAGGGAACAAAAACAATGATTGTGCTTCTGAATTTGGGGGTAGGAAATCTACCCTTTTGATATTTTGGATTTGAAAGGTACAAATTCCACCCTCATTTCTAAAAGCTGATGTCCTTTCTTGGTTTCTTTTTAAAATTCTTTTGTAATGTATTATCAATAAAACAGTTACTACTATTGCATACTTAGGAAAAGTTTATCCACACTGATGTTTACAGTATTGATATAAGACATGTATTTTTATCTAATTATGATTAAGTAAAATATATTTTTCACTTTAATTTTTAACTATAGAATTTAAATTATTTGGTTTGGTCTAAATACAATGGCTTGCACACTTGTCTTGCACATACAGTACCCAAGCAATAATTTACAAAAGAAGACACTACAAAAAATGGCGGATTATCAAACAACATATGGCTTCCAAATTGTTCATTCTACTACCAAATTTCGCTAGATCATCCGCAACTTTGTGCTGCTCTCCACATTCTTCGCCTCTAGTGTAAGTTGTTCACTTTGTTTTATAAGTTTAACATCTACTCCGACCCCTGTCGATATGTTACCCTATATATTTGGTTATATTGGCTATCTTTCGATTCTTGTATTTGTTGACGATACAACATAAGTTGATCGTGGATATAAAAAGTACTTCTCAAGTGATTAGGTGGGGACAAGATTCAAACATGCAGTTAAGGGTGGTAAGTGGGCCAGTCCAGGTTCGAGACCGGTCCGGAACCGCAGGCCAAACGGGCTAAATGCGCCAGGATCGTTTGGCCCGGTTTAGTGGGTATGGGCCGGTCCTATGATTTGGGTCCGCCAGGCCCGAGACCATTTAGCCTGCCAGGGACCGGGACCGGTCCCTTAGCGGGTCAAACGGTCCCAACGGCTATATTTTTTTTAAAAAAAAATTAAAATTTAAAAAAAATATAGTCGTTGGGCTGTCAAAAATAGTCGTTGCCTATTTATAAAATAGTCATTTAACCTCCCTCCCTCCCCCAACTTTGTTTTAACCCCAAACTTTTTATAATTATACTTTTTTCCTATTTTCACCTATAAATACCCCCTCATTCTTTCATTTTTTCTTACAAAATCATCAATCTATCACGATCTCTCTCTAATTTCCTTCTATAATTGCTACTATTGCTTACTTTATTGTTACTAAGTGTATAATATATAAGTTATATTCGATATATATATATATATATATATATATATATATATATAAGTTATATTCGATATAAGATGTATATATAGTATAGTGTATATATATATTAAATAAAATTTAGGTCACAATTCTATAATAAAATTTACAAAGCATTGCTCTAGATATTTTTTTTAACATCCTTTTATCTCTAATATCTATTTTTTTATTTTTTATTTTAAAATTCGTTGGGCTCACTTAGCCCATTTAGCCCGCGGGCCGGGATCCTTTAACCCCAGACCAAACGTTCCCGGTCCCGGACTGGTCCTTACAAAAAGATCGTTTAGTCCGGGATCGTTTGGCCCATTTAATTTGGGATCGGGACCGTTTGGACCGGTTCACTTGGCCCGTTTAGCCCCGGGACCGGCCCACTTGCCACCCTTACCTGCAGTCTCTGGTCATGAGCTTGATGAGTTGACGTCCTCTGCTCCACTCCTTCCCTTTCTCTTTTACTTTTCCCACCTAAGTTCCCCATTCAATCAATATTACTTTCTTGCTTTGATTACTAATAATTTTTATCTTTGAGTACCTCTATTATTGTTGTTACAAATTTCTGGCACGTCCAGTGGGACAATCTCTACCTCTCATCTCTTCAAATTACCAAATTTCAAGAACACAAAAATAGCTCCTAAGAAGATCAACTTCAATCTCACTACTGCTAAGGTTACGGATTCCAAGTTTTCATCTGATGTGGAAAACTTGTTGGATGCTACTATGGAAAGCTTCTGGAAAATTTGTAACAACAAATTTTTGCGTCGAGAAAAATAAATAATCAAGATTGGAAAATTGCGTAACAAATGTAGTATTTGATTTCAACAAATGAAAGTGTTACAATCTCTATGGTATTCCTCTGATTCTTCAAGAATATAAACTATCTTGATGAGCTTGATTTTGATTCAAGGGCTTGTAAAGCTCGGTCTTGAATCTCCTTCTTGAGCTTGAATTTGGATTTGATCACGAACAAGTAATTTGATCTTGAACGCCTTGATATTTGATTTGGCTTCGTTCTTAATCTTGAACTTAAACTTGAACTTGTAGCTTGTAGAGAAATTTGCGGTGTTTGATCCACGAGCTCACTGCTTGCTTCTTGTTATCACTTCTAGTGTCTTCTAGCTTTATGAAGACCTCTATTTATAGTTGTAGGGAGTGGTGTGGCTCTGCAATTTGATTGGTCCATTTGAACTGACCAATATCATCTAGACACTTGGCACAACTCTATTGGTTGTTGATTTAACTTGGTATGCCACCCTTTCTTGACACATGGCATGATTTCATTGGCTCACTTATTTGGCTTGGATTGCCACATCACTTGACACGTGTCGTGATTTCATTGACTCATTTATTTAGCTTGAATTGCCATATCACTTGACACGTGGCATGAGCTTGGGCTTTAAATTGGGCTAATAGCCATTTGGACCTTGGGCTAATGAAATAGGCTTATCATTTAATTTGTAATTCAATTAAATGGACTAGCCCAATACATATATGTTGCATTAATCCAATTTACTAGCCACAATATTTGTTTGGATTAGTGTCTTAAATTAATATAGTCCAAATTATTTTATGAATTAAATCCAATAAAATTTAAATGCTTACAAATGCCCCTATATCAAAGTTAGTCGGCGTGTAAGCTTGTTAATCCTCAAAGACTAGCCTTGAAGCAGGACAAAAGATTTTTAATTGTCTTATCGCAAGTGCTTTCTCACTTTTGGATGGAACAGAGAGTTTGGTTGATTATAAAAATCAAAGGTTTAATGGCCTTGTTTCAAGATTAAAACTTCGGTTAAGATCAGTACTTATCACATATGGTCCCACGTGAAACATCTAATATTTTAAATACTTTGAGCTTAACTTTTAGAAAGCTAAGAAGCAAAATTTGAGCTTATCTAACCAACTTCCACGTAATCGTCAAAGATGCCTAATTTTACGGGATTTGAATTTGCAAGCATCTTCCATTTCCAACCTAAAGATTGTGAGTTCGAGTCACTCCAAAAGCAAGATGGAGAGTTCTTGGAGGGAAGGATGCCGGGGGTCATTTGGAAACAACCTCTCTATATCAGGATAGGGGTAAGGTCTGCGTACACACTACCCTCCCCATACTCCACTAGTGAGATTAAACTGGGTTGTTGTTGTTGTTGTTGAATTTGTATGGAATCTTCATATACGGATAGAGAGTTTCCAAGTTACAATTGAACTGTAACTCTCTTCTATTTTATCCAATCTCTCATGAACTTCGACTGTTTAACAAATTTAGTATTGGGGTAGGAGTCAACCACTGTCAGCTCATTCTATAAATAGGGAACAATATCATTGTTAGACGTATTATCTGAACTCCGATAAAGTCTTGACTCGTAACAGTTTGGCTGGAGAAGTACCATTCTTTGAGGTAAGTTGCTCTTTTCTTTTTTGCAACATTCAAAAATTGCTTAAAAATTGACAAAATAATTCATGCGGACCATATGCCTCATACTGCCAAATGAAGGTTTAACATTACAAAAGTAGTATAAGAGTTTTGATGTCGAGCAAAATGCTACTGTTTTTGTCTTTGAAACAAGGTTTTTTTTAACCATCTTATGCCCTCACCTGAAATTATATTGCATTAGACACCATGTGCTTCCATGTATTGCTTCTTTTCTTACATTATTTCGTAGAAGCATTTTGGTGATGATAAAACAAGACTCTTCTTTTGCAGGTCTCTAGAGCACATCTTATATTGCCGCTAAACTTTTCTCATTCAAACGGAAGCAGGTACTTTAATTTTTTTTTACCTAGATCTCCCTTTTTGGCCAGAGGTCAAGAGAAGCAAATATGAAGTAACTAGAATTTCTTGGAGAGAAGCCAATGTTAAAGTGGTTTTAGGATTTACTTTCTCCGAATTTTACTCATTCTGGCGAAGGAATCATTCTAGTTGAGGAAAATTCATTATGTTGTGCTAGGCGAGGACCTTACTTTGTCCGAGGCTTAGGCTATTACACTATTTAATCCAAACACTTTATTTTATTTGAGGCGAAGACCATTATACCGTCTTGGCCAAAGACTTCATTTTATTTAAAAATTTGATTTTTTTTATTTGTGGCAAAGACCATTACACCGTCTAAGCCAAAGATTTTTTTTTTTATCTGAGGCGAAGACCATTACACCGTCTGAGCCAAAGATTTATTTTGTCTGAAGCGAAGACCATTATACTGTCTTGGCCGAAGACTTCATTTTATTTGAAAATTTAACTTTCTTTATTTGTGGCAAAGACCATTACACCGACTAAGCCAACGATTTTACATTTATTTGAGGCGAAGACCATTACACCGTTTGAGCCAAAGATTTATTTTGTCTGAAGCGAAGACTATTACACTGTCTGAGCTAAAGATCTTACTTTATTTAAAGATTTGACTTTACTTTATCTGAGGCGAAGACCATTATACTGTCTGAGCCAAAGATTTTACTTTGTCTGAGGCGAAGACCATTACATTGTCTAAGCCGAAGACTTTATTTTGTCTAAAGCGAAAACCATTACACCATTTGAGCCAAATATTTTATTTTGTCTTAAACGAAGACCATTACACCGTCTAAGCTAATGACTTTATCTTGTTTGAAGATCTAACTTCATTTTATCTGAGGCATAGATCATTACACCGTCTAAGCCAAAGATTTTAGTTTATCTTAAGCAAAGATCATTACACCGTCTAAGCCAAAGATTTATTGTCTGAAGTGAAGACCATTACACCGTCTAAGCCAAAGATTTATTGTCTGAAGTGAAGACCATTACACCGTCTAAGCTAAAGATCTTACTTTATTTACAAATTTGACTTTTCTTCATATGAGGCGAAGACCATTACACCGTCTGAGCCAAAGATTTTATTTTGTCTGAGGTAAAGATCATTACACCGTCTGAGACAAAAATTTTCTTTATCTGAGATGAAGACCATTACACCGTCCGAGTCAAAGACTTTACTTTATACGAGGCAAAGTCTATTACACCGGCTAAGCTGAACACTATATTTTGCAAAGGCGAAGACAACCGTCTAAGCTGAACACTTTACTTTGTCTGAGGCTAAGACCATTACACCGTCTAAGCTGAAGATTATATTTTATCTAAGGCGAAGACCAGTGAAGATCATTATAGAGTCTAACTTGCAGATTTTACTTTACCGCCAAAAGATTTGACCTTTTAGTGCAAAGGAACGGGAACTTGTCCTCATTTCGAGATGCATGAATAAGAGATTGTATGAAGCATGAAAAAAACTGACCACCAAGAATATCTCTACAATTTCAATCTTTACATGTAATTTTATGATCTCCTTTATATAGATATATTTCTCCTTTTTTTTTGCAGGTAGAAGAAGAAATCACTTCCAAAGATTTTTTTTGCAACATAAATCAAGTCATGCAACCCAACATTTTAAATACTTTTAGTTGGAGATTTGAGATATATTATAACTTTCCTTCAAAGAATTCAAGATATAAATATTTAAAGATGGCGCAGGCTATATCAAAGGTTTTTACCATACACTTGGAGATATACTGAAACTTCCAACTAAAGAATTGAAGGTTATATCAATTTGAAGATTTCAAGACTATTATGGGGGCTTCTTATTGGCTTTCAATTGAAGACTTGGTGCTCGGAAGAATTTAACTTGCAGATTTCAACTTGAAGGCATGGAAGACTTGAAGGCTTCTACTTGAAGACTTGACAGATTTGAAGACTTCAACTTGAAGACTTAGTGGATTTGAAGACTTTAACTTGATGATTCAACTTGAAAATTTTGCAGCCTGCTAAAGACTATAATTGTCTCGAAGATACCAATCTCGGTGAAGAGGATCAAGTCATTATGCAGTTTATAATAAGTGAGTTATTTTTAATACTTTATGGATTTGAAGACTTGGCGGACTTGAATATTGTAACTTTAAGACCTAGCGGGCTTGGATACTTCAAATTGATGATGTAATAGACTTGATAAATTCAACTTGACTTAGAATTGGAGCCTTCAACTTTGAATATTAAGCCTCTTATTAAAGAAATGACAATCATTCCATCAAAGACCTCAATTTGACACGAAGGACTTGCCCCCATTGAGCCATCAAGAAAAGACAGAGAGTTCAACGAAAGAATACATGTACACCTAATTTTCAAGTGTCAATCAAGTGAATTATATTCCATCACGCCTCATTTGAATAATGCCTTGGGTAATATGTATTTTTGAACTCATATGACTGAACTTAGAATGAAACTCTAAGCTGCCTACGTACCTCGGTGAAGAGGATCAAGTCATTCCGTAGTTCGAAATTGGTGAGCTTTTTTTTAATGTCCTAACTTTTGCCTAGGCCGCCTCTTTCGAGGTTTCAACCTAGCAGACTTTTTTTTTGTTTGCATATCCTAACTTTTGCCTAGGCCACCTCTTTCAAAGTTTTCAACCTAGCAGACTTTTTGTTTTGGACCGTGCAGAGTTTATACTCTTGCGGGCCAGGAGTAACATGCAGTTTATGCTCATGCATTAAGGAGCATATTTGTTTTCTTCAAGGATAGTATCTCTTCATGAATTTCCCATTGATGGGGCCAATCCACAAACCTTCTGAGTCAACTATCTTGTAAGCGCCACTTGAGTATACCTCTTGTATAATATATGGTCCATCCCACTTAGTAGAGAATTTGCCCCCGAATCGACGAGAGGTAATAATAGGACTTTTGACCACAAGAACTTGGTCACCAACTTGGAAAGATCTAAGGCGCACCCTTTTGTTAAAAGATCGAGACATGCGAGCTTGATGACATTCAAGGCTTTGTTGAGCTTCTAGCCTCTTTTCATCAAGAGCTTCTAGTTCTTCAAGGTGTAACCAGGTATTTTCTTCATCAGTGAGTCCTTCGTGAATGGAAAATCGCAACGATGAGATTTGACACTCAAGTGGAAGGACTGCTTCAACTCCATAAATAAGTGAATAAGGAGTCGCTTGCGTTGGTGTGCGATATGTAGTCCTATATGCCCAAAGATCTTCTTCCATTCTCTCATGCCAATCTTTCTTAGACTTAGAGATAACCATTTTTAACAAGTTGCATAACGTCTTGTTAAATGCTTCAGCAAGTCCATTGGCAGCAGCATAGTACATGGAGGAATTGCGTTGCTGGAAGCCAAAAAGATCACATATTTATTCATAAGCTTGTTATCAGATGGCTTACCATTGTCCGTCAATATATATCGAGGAATGCCGAAACGATAGATAATATTGACTCGGATGAAGTTAGCCACATTTTTTTTCCTTAAGAGAAACAACTTCAGCCCACTTCGAGAAGTAATCATTTGCGGCCAAAATGTATAGATGTCCACCAGAAGACTTTGGCAATGGACCAATAACATCCAAACCCCAAGCATCAAATGGCCAAGAAGCAACAGTTGGGTGTAATAATTCAGGTGGTTGATGTATGAAGTGAGCATGAAATTGACAAGCTTTACACCTTCGAGCGTAATATAAACAATCTTTCACCATATTTGGCCAATAATACCCCATTCTTTTTATGTGGAAATAAAGTTTTGGCCGAGATTGATGCACACCACACACTCCAAAGTATGCTTCTTGCAGGGCTTGAAGGGATTCATCAGCCCCCAAACAACGTAGGAACACTTCATCAAATGATCGTCTGTAGAGTGTATTCTTATAATAAAGAAAACGAGGGGCTCTCCTTCAGATTTTTGTCTTCCTTCGGGGATTTTCCGGAAATATCTCATAAAAAAGATAATTGATTAATGGTTGTTGCCAATCTTCAATTTCAACCTCAAGAACAGAAGCAAGATGCTCAACTTCACTTTTTTCTTCCTCATAGTCATTTGGTGGAGGAACTACCTATCTTTAGCAAACAACAACTTGTGTCTGATCAGGCAAAGATAATGTAGAAGCTAAGGCTCCTAATGCATCAGCTCTCTTATTTTCCTTTCTCGGCACATGTTGAATAGTTACCTCTCCAAGCCAACTTACCAATCTTTGAGCATATTTATGATATGGCACCAACTCTGACTTCTTGACCTCATAGCTATCCAAAATCTGATTGATCACTAACTTGGAGTCTCCAAAAATATGTAGTTGCAATTGTTTGATATCCACTACCATTTCAAGCCCAAGTATGAGTGCTTGATATTCAGCAACACTATTGGAGCACCGTTATGTCAGCGTGAAAGAATATGGAAAAACTTCTCCTTGAGAAGTGATAAACACTATTCCAGTGCTAGCTCCTTCACGATGTGCATCGCCATCAAAATACATCTTCCAAGGAGGTTGAATTTATATGACCATTGCATCTTCATCAGGTAATTCATCAGACAACTCCCAATCATCTGGAATCAGATGGTCAGCTAGGAAGTCTGCTAATGCTTGTCCTTTTACCACCTTTTGAGGAACATAAACAATTTCATATTGTTAAAATTGGAGGTACCACCTCGCTAATCAATCACTTAAAACAGGTTTAGTCATGACAAACTTGATATGATTCGCTCTTGAGACGAGTCGCACAACGTGAGCTTGGAAGTAATGCTTCAGCTTCTGAATAGAGAAGACAAGTTCCAAACATAACTTCTCAATAGGTTAATACTTGAGCTCATTTGGCATCATCATCCTACTTAAGTAATAAAGTGCATTTTCTTTGCCTTCATTGTTTCCTTGAGCCAGAAATGCTCCTACTGACATTTCATGTGCTAAAATGTATAATATTAATGTCTTTCCAGCTATGGGAGCTGCCAATACTGGAGGCTTCATCAAATAGTATTTAATGCTTTCAAAAGCATTCCTACAAGTTTGGTCCCATTCAAAAGGAACTCCCTTCTTCATGAGGCGACTGAATGGTTGGCATCTTCAAGCCAGATTCGATATAAATTTTCTATGATATGCTAACTTACATTGTAAGCTTTTTAATTCATGAATATCCTTAGGCTCGGACATTTTCAATATAGCATCCACCTTAGTTTGACCAATTTTGATACCTCTGTGTCGAACAATAAAATCGAGGAACTTCCCAGAAGTAACTCCAAAGGCGCACTTCAACGAATTAATTCTGAGTTGGTATCTCTAAAGCCGTTCAAATATCATCCTCAAATCTTGCAAGTGATCATATGTTTTCCTTGATTTTACCACCAAGTCGTCAACATAACACTCTACGTTTTTATGAAGCATGTCATCAAAAATATTTTGCATGGCACGTTGATATATATCACCAGCGTTCTTCAAACCAAAAGGCATTACCTTGTAGCAGTATATACATTTAGGGGTGCGAAAGGCAGTAAGTTCTTCATCCTTCGGTGCCATGCGAATTTGATTATATCCAGACGAACCATCTATGAATGACATCGCCTCATATCCAGTCGTGGCATAGGGATAGAAAAAGGAAATTTATCCTTAGGGCAAGCATTATTTAGGTCCCTAAAGTCAACACAAACTCGGATTTGACCATTCTTCTTTCTTACAGGGACGATGCTTGAAATCCATGTAGTATATTTAACTTCACGAACAAAACCAGCCTCGATAGGCTTGTTAACTTCGGTTTCAATCAATTGAACCAGTTCAGGTCTGAAGCGACGTTGTGCTTGCTTCACAGGACGAGCACCTCGTTTGACAACAAGATAATGAACAACCACCTTGGGGGTCTAAACATGGCATTTCTTTGTAGCTCCAAGCAAATACGTCTTTTAACTCTTTAAGTAGCTCAATATATTTTCTCTCTTCATCACCAGTTAGAGAGGCACTTACTTATGTGGGCTTTGGATCTTCAACACCTCCGAGATTGACTTCTTTTAGTGCATCAACCGTTATCTTTACCCCTTCTTCAAGCTCATGTGGTGCATCTTTAGCGTCTTCATCCTCTTGAGGATCACCATCTTTGAAAGATATGTGATGACATCCATGAATATCAAGGCACTTTTCCTCAACTTCCGTATACAATGAAGCATTTTGTTCGTCATGAATGATGATATGATATGATGACCCCCACACTTTCTTCATCTTCCTCCCATTCTTTAGCGTGGACTATAGTATGCACCTTTGCTTTGAGGACCTCTCTTCACGAAACTACAAGTTTGGTCTCTCACCTCATTCTAGAAGGAATCAGACTTGGGCAGTTTGTGGTCAAAATCTCCTTTTTAGCAAAGATAGATGCTCCAATCCTTCTATTACCTCCATGACACTTGTTCTCATTCTTCAATGGTCCTAACCTATCAAATACTGAGGTCCTTAGTTTTGTAAGTCGATCAAACACAGAAGGCTTCTTGTTAAGCATCGTAGACACTTCTTTAGCAGTAATGTAGTTACAACTTGCCCTTTTAATGGAGATACGAATTGGCGGGGGTTGTTTGTAACCCAAACCTTCACGTGATTGCTTCAGGGGGTACCCTTTCTCCATATTCATCTTTTGAGTAGGGTTTGAAGCTTCATGTGGGAGCTTTCCCAACTTGGATGGTTCATTTGAATCATATCCAACTTTTTCTAACAACTTGTAGGCATTTGGGTCAAAGTCATCATTTGTGCGCTTTGCAGGAACTACTAGATTTAGAAGCGAATTGAGGTTTGATGATTTGACAAACCCTTTAAGCAACTTTGTGGACGACTTAATTGCATCAATTCGCTTGACATGAAGGGTCAAGCCTCCTAACACATTACCTTGCAGTTCAGAAGATGGATCTTCAACCTGCGTTGCCTTTTGGACATAGCAAAGAATGGGAGTCACTTTCTTACTTGAAGATGCCTCATTTATCTTGATTTTATCATAAAGCACTTGATCTTTTTCAACCATAACCTTTGCCTTGCCAGTTGCGACATAAACCTTCTTTGCAACACTTTTGGTTGGCGTCACGTCATCAAAATTAACCTCCTTCGAGACATAATTCTTTAAGTAGAATTTTGCATCGGCAAAGTATGATCCAGCCTCAGTAAAGGGCTTATCATCAGCAACTATCTTCTTTTCAATCCCATCTTCACAATACTTCAAGCACTGATGGTAGGTGGATGAAACCACTTTTTTCTGTGTATCCATGGCCTTCCTAACAAGATATTA